TTCTGACTTACATACAGATTCAACTTAAGAACCCCAGGCTCCGCGGCTTTGCTCTGCTTTGCTCCCCGTCCCCCTGGTCTGCAGACCAGGGGGTCGGGGAGCAAAGCGGCGGAACACGCGGGCAGCGGGACAGCCCAGATGCGCCGTGGCTATCCTGCTGCCCTTGGGCTCCGCGGCTTTGCTCTGCTCTGCTCCCCCTCCCCCTGGTCTGCGTCTGGGCTGTCAGCTGGCCGCATGTTCCGCCGCTTTGCTTCCTCTCCCTGGTCTGCTGGAGACCAGGGAGAGGAAGGGCCCCGTTCGTAACTGGGGATCCGACATAAGTCGGATCCGCGTAACTCGGGGACTGCCTGTATCCCCTCTCTCCCCCACCTCCCTTTGCTGCTTCTTTCTGATAGAAGCAATAAGGGGGAGGAGGGGGTAACCAGTTGACTAGCATATGGACTATCTGATAAGCATTTGCTTATTGGATAGTCGACTAGTCCTTCACATCCCTAATGGATACCAACATGTTTCTGTTCTCCCACTGGTGTAACTTCACAGACTTCTGATTTACATTAGTGTAAATTAGATAAGCATCAGGCCCATGTTGCTTTTTTAAAAGAAGTGCCTGTTACTACTACTTTTATATAGTTATTCTGATCCAGCAACGTCTGTGGTGGTGTTCCTGGACCAGAAAGTGCCGACAGCAAGAAGGTGGCCTGCCGGAAGCAGCAACAACAGGACCAGTGGGCAGGGCAGAGGGCCCAGCAGAGTTGGCAGCCCTGCTGGAGTGGCGACAGTAGGGCTGGCAGCAGCGGAATTTGACCGGTCAGCTGGGGAGCTGGGAGCCCAGCCAGGTCTGTGGCCCAGCCAGAGTAGGGACCAGAGGCCAGCACTGACTTCCCCTTGTCTAGCAAACGCCCTCATTCAGGACCAGCCAGGTCCTGAGGGTGCTGGACCAGTGTCAGCCGACGGTCCAACGTGTAGTAAAAAAGCCAGGTGTGTAAAGGCGGCACATAGTAAGATTATAAGCCTGGTTCTGCTCTCATTTTTGTAGAATCAATGTTTTCCAAAAAAAAAAGTAAGCCCAAGTCTTATCCTGTAGATTTTACAATCCAAAGGGCAAACAGGCCAATTGATGCATATAAAGACCTCAAGGGACTATTCTGATGCATCTAGTCTGACCTACTGTATAACACAGACCACAGAATTATATGCAGTAATTTGGGGGTTCAGTTAGATCATCTCTTCTAAAAAGTCATCCAATCGTCACATTTTTTTTGCAAACCTTTCCAATTACTTTCAGTGTAAAAATTTGCACTTCTTTACAGTTTAAGTTTGTCTAGCTTCAACTTCCAGTTATTAGACCTAGAAAAACAGGAAAAGGATATAACAGTACAAGTAAACAGTTCAAACCGGTGACTGGTCTATTACAAAACATGTTTTAAATTATATTTTTAGCATAATATATAAATTATCCCTAATCAAACACAATCTAATTTTTTTTTTTAACTAAATGAAAATTTTCCATTTACTTCAATGGGAGGAGGTTTAGGAATATGATTGATAAAAAAGAATTTGGAGCATTCAGATTTGATGATCTAAAATCGAAATAATAAATATAAACATAGTTAGTTCCCACCTTGCATCAAAGGCATTTAAAAAAACATGTTAAAAAACCACATGATTTATGCTTATACAATATAAAAAGGTAAAATCTACATGTTCGCATGACCAATAAGTGTTGATATTTTAAAAGGAAATCTTAGATACCTTACTCTGTAATACTACCTATTACAAAAACACTAACAGTAGGGTACTACCACAACTAGTGCCAAAAATACATATGTAGGCAATGACAACAGATGCTTGTAGTAAAATCTAAATTTATCAGTATTTACAGAAAATCACAAAAGGAAAACTTAAAACCTCCAATTCTGATATAAATACAGATTAGTTAAAGTTATCTGGACATTGTTTTTTTCAATTGCTCAAGAGAGTCCAAAATCAACAAACAAAATATACAAGTATGTTATTTTTGTTTGATTTGCAGATGCCTTAAACAAGAAAACGAATGTTGCGGATGCTTCTCTAAGTCCTTTTAATTAAGTGAAATGAAAGCCAAGAAATGTGACAACTAAAAATAAGTTCTGGATGTTGATTTTATGACACAGCTTCTAGCTCCTCCACATCCAGCAGGCAGCTTCTCATCTTAAATGACCACTTCATAGTGTCCCAAGGTTCCCAGTACAATTGTCTACAACTTTTAGTTAAAGACCTTCTCTATTCAACCTTCTGTGCAGACACAGCAGGAAGGCTTTGCATTAATTGTTTATAAATCGATTATAAAATAAGAGGATTAAGTTCATTTATAGCTCAGAATTATTTAATTCGTTTACATGTGCAATGCCAAGAGTGCAGATTTGACAAATAAAGATAGCTCTCACGTCTGGATACTCAGCACCATCCACCAAAACAATGTATTTTTTGATACTTTTATGCAACTGTAATGACTAGCATATAATAATCATCAAAGCTTTCTGGTTTATCCTAAAAATTATAAAATTATATGCAGTTACAGTCCAGCCCTTTACATTCCCTGCCAGCTTTTGTGATTTTACACTATTTTTCTGGTTCCTTTTTTTTTTGGGGGGGGGGGGGGACAAGAAGGCTTATAAAGTCAATACTGGCACCTACAGAAATCTCCCATTTACAGAACTTTTATACGAATTCAACTATTTTAAGCAGTATCGTTGTTCCATCCGGTGTGATTTAGAGGAAAAGGGAAGTAACATGGAGTAGCTGCATTTGTGATCATTAAAATCCTGCACAGTCCGCAGCCGTGAAAACAGCTCCACAGATTTGCAATTAATAAGGCAACAAGAAGTCTGTAAGCAGCAAACTCTGAGCAATGAGGAGTGTAGCTTTGCCTTCCCACCAGGCAGGGGACTGCAGGGCTGGTGAGACCCTCACTTATTTGTTGCCAAACAAGCTAACTCTGGGGCTCGCCCAGGCTCTTACCAAACTCTCCTGAAATTCAGTTAAAATCGTGTTTTTAGAGACGCAGGAAGCCGAGTCCGGAGCAGCCACCTGATTTACGTTCACTGCGAGCTGCATCACCGGGGCAACACCGCGCCCCCGAACCGCCTCGCTTCAGCAGGGGCCAGACACGAGCGCCCCGTTGTCACTGGCGCCCGTTCCCCCGCGGCTCCGGACACCGCCCCCCAGCCCGGCGCCCCGCGGGAGGGGCACACGCCAGGCAGCCTCTCACCTTCCCCCATCGCCAGGCTCCGGCTGAGCCGCAAGGGCTCCCGCCTGCTCCTCCCGCCGCCTCTCCAGGGCGAGGGCGTCTGGTCCGCGCCCCCCGCGGCCTCTCCTCTCCGTGGTCCCGGGAGCGGAGCGCCTCAAACACACACAAGCGGCGGAGGCCGCTCCTGCTTCCTGGAGCCGCCTCAAAGGGGACCCAAGTCTCAGGGAGCGGAGACGTGCGCGGTGCACACCAAGGCGGGTACCGAGGCAACGCGGGGCCTCGCTCCACTTCCGGTGTGACGGGAGCGAACCCAGGGACGTTCACTTCCCCTCCCGTGGGGACAGCTTCCCTCTGTCCCGAGGCGAGCCCGCGGATCTAAAACTCACGTGCGCACCCCAGGGGCGGTGCCGTGGGGTGTCCCAGTTACATACACTGGCTGGGTTTGAGGAAGCACTTGGGCTGTGATTTCAAGCACCCCCGAGGCTAAAAATGTACTATGTGCTTGGGACAGACTAACTGTCCCTCCATGTGTAAGTCTGTTTATTCACAAACTCCTCCAAATGGTAAGAGCAAGGAACACCCAATTCGGTCTGCAGCTTTCTCTGACCATAACTTAACGCCAGGTCCGGGTGTGGTTGTGGAAGGAAAATAGGATATGCCTGGGATGGGATTATTTCTCATAAAATGCTAAGGGAGGAATCTGCTAGCAGGCACAGTTATACTGCAGAATGCCCACAGGAGGGATGGGGCGCCTGTAAGTGTGTGTCTAGCTGGGGGTATGCCTCTGGATGTTGCCGTCCATGGGTAAGGTTCCCATGTTGGCTGCCATAACCGGAGGTCAAACCACTCCCCCTCCCCCACCCTTTTCCTAAAGTCCCAGTACCAGACGGGGAGGAGAATCCAAATGGGCAGTGTAGGCCCTAGGGAGTCACCGCTGCTGGCCAGCACAGCCCCATGCAGCCCATGGACACACTTAATCTCTTAGCCTGCCACCCTAACTCTTCCAACCCCCTGCTCTGAGGGCCCCCCACCTCTGAGCCCTCTGTTCTGACTTTTGCACTGTCACCCTGTCCTGAGCACCCACCTCCTAACTCTCTGCCTTGACTCCTGCACCCCCTACTTCCTGCCTTGAGAGACCCCCCCCAATACACACAACCTCTTGTCCTGACTACTGCACCCACCATCCCATGTCCATACTCCTGTCCAACCCCCTGCTCTGAGGGCCCCCCACCTCTGAGCCCTCTGTTCTGACTTTTGCACTGTCACCCTGTCCTGAGCACCCACCTCCTAACTCTCTGCCTTGACTCCTGCACCCCCTACTTCCTGCCTTGAGAGACCCCCCCCAATACACACAACCTCTTGTCCTGACTACTGCACCCACCATCCCATGTCCATACTCCTGCACGCACGCACGCACACACACCCCTTCGCCCACCACTTCTCTGCCCTGAGCCCCTACAAGGACCTGACCAATGCTTGGTAAATCCTCTAGTGTGCTATAAAAATAAAGTGAAAGATGAGGTTCTCATATATTCCTGTGTCTCCTGCAGCTTCAAGAAGAGCACCATATATCATGATGTATGATAAAAATCATGAATGTTAGCAACTGTAACTAGAAAACATTTTCAATATCCCATTCCCCTCACATGGCTATTGCACAATTAACAAGGCTAAAAACTGAGGCTGCATTATCACAAAGCTTTGTGTGGTCTGCTCTGCACTTAGCACAGCCCTGACTTCTTATGTCCCATATATAGACACAGAAAGTGAGAGGATCTTCTAAGATGGGTGTAGGGACATCATTCTTTAAATCCCCTTCTATCATAAAGTTATAGATCAAGACAATCCAGGCCATTTACACTTTCCACATAAGAGTCCCAGGACCCTGCTATAGCTACAACCAGCATCAAGGCAATGATTATCAAGCACAATTAGATGGACAGGTCATGTTATCAGAATGCATGAGGATAGACTCCCAGCAAAAGTCCTCAACAGTGAGCTGAGACTTGCAAAACACAAGAAGGGTGGTCAACGTAAATGCTTCAAAAATATCTTTCAGCTAGAACTTCAGTTCATGTCGCATAAACATCCACAGGTTCCAAGGACAGACCTGAATGGATAGCACCTATCAATAAATGTTGTAAACAGGTTGAAAAAGACAAATGTGAAAAACGGCCTTGTATCCCAGCAAGTCTTCTGTGGGAGCCTGTGCATTCCTTTGTGACTTCTGCTCATGATATTGCTCACAGGTCCACTACCACAAGAAAGCATACAGTTGGTGTGACAGGGCGGAGGCGCCCCGCACTCCAGTCCCGCCGGCGGCCGCTTATCTGGCGGCTCTCGGGGTAGGGGGCGGGGTAGCGGCGTCGGATACACCGCATGACGCAGGCAGAGTGGCGCAGGGGCCGGCCTACCGCTGTGCAGCAGCTGTTCCCGGGCGGCTGCCCCGACAGGACGCCCACGCACTGCCGGCAGGCCGGGCGCCAAGGGGGGGGGGAGTAACGTCGGACCATGGCCCCGCCAACGGACCGGAAGCGGGGCCACGCCGGAAGGGGCGGGATCCCACGGTCCGGGAGTCGGCGCAGGGATTTAAACCCCTGGAGATGCCGCAGAGAGGAGAGGTCCAAGGAAGCAGCCTCTCGCTAGGGCCCAGAGGAAAAGAGGTGAGCCCAGAGGTAAGGGGATATCTAACCGTGGAGAGAGGAGGTAGCCCAGGGCAGGCAAAGGAAGCCTGTGGGCTGGCGAGTTACGGCTGACACCCCGCCAGCCGGACCGGACAGTAGAAACAACTTAGGGCTCTGGGCTGGGGTCTGTGAGAGGGGGCAGGCCCGGACCCCCCTCTCCCCGCGGTCGGTCCCTGCTTAGGGGTCAGCAAAATCCCAGGAAGTGAGGGCCCGGCGAGCCTTGGACAAAACAGACTCAAACGCTGAAGGGTGCTCAAAAGGGTAAAGGAAACACGGGGAAAGGGAAGGGGTACCAGGTGAAAATGGGGTGCACGGCCCAACGCGTTTACAGATGGATAGCCATACATTTTGCTTTGAGTGGTTGTACCCTTGTGGGGAGTTGTCTCCTGTCAAAACGGCAGATGGGTTTTTGTGAGTACTTTAGATCAATGTTTCTCAATCGGGTACTCGAGAGAAGTCTGGGGGTACGTCAACACACCTGAAATTTGGAGAAAACTGAATTTTTATTTTAAGTTTTACAGCACTTTATTATTTCTGTACTTTTTACACCCCAAAATTTTATCACCCGCCCGGCTATGATTAAGTTGTTTAAACAAATGTGTTGCAATAGTAGAAAAAATGTTGTGTGTCTGAAAACTGTAGGTACTGAGGGTACTCATAATTTTAATTTTCTTTTAAAGGGGTACTTTATAAAAAAAAGGTTGAGAAACACGCTTTAGATGCTATTAATGAGTCATCCCTTAGGGCTCTGCTATGGGAGGGTGGGATTTTCTCTCATGGTCTCTATTCTCTGGGACTGAGATCACAGCTTTCCTCTTATATCTTTTTACTCCATGGGAATATTTAGCCTCATGCTACAGGCTGTACATGATTATGTCACTATGTTGTGACATCTGTATCACAGAGACCCCATAACAAGGGATCCTCCATTTCTTAAAACAGCTGTTACCTAAGACCTGATGAACTCATTATACCAAACACATTTCTTGCAGGGTAATTGCTCATAAGGGATATCATGTGACATGTTTACAGAAAGCTCATAATTTCTCCAGACTTATAACCATTGTGAGATGTGTGTATTGACAATGTATTTACAGTGAAAGTGTGCTTAATGGATCTGGAGTAGAAATTAATCACTATGTATTAATGAGCCTCAGGAATGGCTCATCCAAGCAAGAGGGAGTTATCACCCTTCCTTAATCAGCTGATGTGGTAACACAAGATTCAGTTAAATCAACCTTTTGTCCAAAACTATCAATGGCAAATCATTAGAGGCACTATCAAACAATCAAAACCTCTTGAAAAAGAACGCGAAAAGAAACATAAACAGAATTGTGCCATGGTTATGAATAGAAACAAAACATTGTTTTCACTAAAGCAGAGTGCAAGAAAAGATGTAGTGTCCCTTAACTGAGGAATTGCCTTGGGAAGTAATGCTTACCTGAAGCAGCCCCTGGAAGCAGTGACTCCCACATGAAGGCTGCGAAAGATGGTTCTTCGTACTACTCCATCTGCAGACACCACCACCTCAGCTCCAATTGACCGTAATTCCTGGCCAATGGGAGCTGCAGAGCTGATGCTTGAGGCATTGGCAGTCTGTGGAGCCCCCTGGCTGCCCCTCTGTCTGGAAACCACACAGAATGGGGCAAGGCAATCCCCCAATCTTGCTCCCTAGTGGGAGCTCAAGGGCTAG